TGGGAGGTCGAGGCTGCAGTGATCCATGATCATGCCATTGCATTCTAGCCTTGACAACAGAGTGAGATCCTATCTCCAAGAAAAAAAAAAAAAAAAGAATTAAAATGGAAGATAATGAAAGAATTTGTTAAAAATATACAATTATTTAGAGCTTATTACAAGACAATTCTGTGTTTTAAACCTTTGGTATAGATTAAAATACAGTATAAAAATTTTATAGGTTAAAAAAATGAGATTCAAAGAGTTGAAAGAACATGCCAAAGTCACACTATTAATGATTAGAGAAAATTCGCTTCAAATCTGTTAACAAAATATTTCATCAACAGGAGTAAACAACATGATATATATGTGGAGGCAGGTCAACAGGTAGATGAGAGATAGATAGACAGATAGACGGCTACTACTCAACAGCAGCAGGCAACAAACTACTGACACATGCAACAAAATAGACATTAAAAACATGTTGAATTAAAGACGTGGGAAACCAAATGGTAATCCTATTTGAGGCTCAAGAACAAGGAAAGCTAATTTGTAGAAAGCAATGAGTATAGTGGTTGCCTCGGTCATGGAGGGGATTGTTTGTAAAGGAGCACAATAGAAATTTATCCAGGAATGAAATGTCTATTTCTTGACTGATATCTGGGTAATACAAATATATTCACTTTTTGAAACTCACTAAGCTGTACACTTAAGATTCATGCATCATACCATTAAACCTCTACAAAAATAAATACAATTTCAATGAATAAAGAAAATAAAAATAAAGATTAATAAGGTACTAAAAGCGGCACCCATTTCACCATGAGTAATATAGAACTGTAATATAAATGGTAATGTATGTGGTCAAATGAGCATATAAATAATCTTTCTGTTGATGTTATTGAAATGTGAGTGCTGTATCCCAGCTAATGCGCTAAAGGAAGAAAGTTATATGCTAAATCACAGGTAACTAATGGAATGTCAACCAGAAGAATTAATAAAATAAGACATATGTGATATACTTTGAAAAGATAATATGGTTAATCTGAAAAAGGCAAGATGGATTTAAGATTGCCTATGGAAACAATGATGTTTGTTGTTAGACAAATATGGTATAGAGACAGTTATTCCTGATAAGCTCTATCGACTTCGTAAAATATGAGTTTGTTCACTAAAGTCTCACGGTGATATAGGCCTTGTTATATTTTCATTTCAAAGATTAATAAACTAGGGTTTAGGGAATATAAAACTCTTTCCATGGAAATGACACAAATATTAATATTTACATCTATATCTGACTAACTTTTAAGTCAGATTATGTATTAAATGAGGCATGCTGCTTATCTTTACTGGCAGATCTCCATCAGTAACATCATCAACATATCTTTGATGTTTCTATAGCCTGAATACATTCAAAAACCTAAGCTCATGGAGTCACAGTGAAAGAAACAAGGTGAAAATTACTAAAACTTATTCAAAATCTATAGCAGTTTTGAAAGAAGAGAAAATAAAATAAAATAAAAATCCTCTAAGTCTCTCACATTTTCTCCAATGTTCTGAACATAGACTTCTCTAGGATGGTTAAAAATCAGGTTAAATCTCCCTATCCCATTGAAGGAAGGTGACCAGAGAACCCCCATAGAGCATGGTTCCTCAGTCACTCTGACGTGTTCTTGAAATTCTGTTGCAGAAATGTTAATAAATGAAACCTTCCTGAAATTTCAAAATATTCTGTTGTACACAATAACTATATACAATTTTTATTTGTCAATTGACAAATTTACTAACAAATTGAAAAAATATGAAATATAAAGAAGCCCTCATATTTTACAGCCCATAAATGACACTGTAGGTTCGTTAATGACAGCAACTTCACGTTGCATTAATATCTGTAGTACAGACTTTAGAATTTGGAAGGAACCCATTATTCATTAAATGAATAAAAGTGTTGAGTAAAAAACAATCTCATAGCTGGTAAGGAAATCAGAAGTGAGTGAATACTTAACAAACTAGCGATACATAGGTGCATATAATTCAGATCGCTCAACACAGGACGAGTGATCATTATAACAACTTATTGAACATGTACACTGTGTCAAGAATGCACTTTCTTCATCAACCCAACTACCTGTGAAGTAGGTGTTTTATGGTATTCATCTTGTAGTTAAGGAAATGAGGTTTTGAGGTCATTTAATTGTCATTGGGGTCACAATGCTCAAAGTTATATACAGAAGTTATAAACAAAGAGTATTTTATTCTGAAGGCAGAAGCTTTGATCACTGGCCTGGATTGCCACTTTTGATGAGACTGCCCCGTCTCTCATCTTGAAACACACCTCTCTAATGCTGCTCCTGGAACTCCCAGTATGTCCCATGCGATCTGATAGGGCCGGCACAGATGAGCAGCCACCTGTGAGCCTGACCCAGCACTCAAGTACATGAGTGCTGAGTGCTAAGAGCCGGCTTGACTAAGAAAGCAAATGAATGACTTATTAATGATTCAGCTGCAGATAAGGTAAACAATGTATTGAAAGTACAACAGTGTTTCTCAAAATGTAATACGCATGGAATCGCCTGTGGATATTAATAAGAATGCAGAGTCTAATTCAGCAGGTCTTGGATAAGCCTAATGTTCTAAATTTCTAACAAGATCCTAAGTAATGCCAATGCTGCTGATCCAAAATCATACTTTTTAAATAGTTATGAGGCAGAACATATTGGCAATATAAGGAACAAAAGACCTGTGAATTTAACCAGAAAGTTTTAATAATGGATACCAGATTTTATATATATTTTTAAATCAGAACTATGGAAACAGGCCCCTATCTCTCCTCTCACCCCCATCTATGCTTTCATCTTTCTCATCATGCCTGTAGTATTTGATCTCCTGGGTATAAACATCTGGCCTGTGCCTAAGACCTCTCCCAGAAGATTTTGAATGGTTTCCCATCTCCTTTTGGATGAAAGGAGAAAAAGTAATTTTGAAGATATCAGAGTGCATGGCCACCTTTTCTGTCACTCAGGTAAAGAGTAGGTGCAGGGAGAATTTGTGTGGCATTGGAAAATTGATGTCTCTGTATATGTATTTATATATGTACATATACATACATATATATGTAAAGTTAACTTTCAAACATCCTCAGGCATGTCAGTCAGGAGGTATTTCAGAAGAAAGAATTGTTGTTATAGGAGATGACAACTTCATGCACCCTGAAGACCTTGCAGTGGGGCAAGATATGGAGGTGTAAGACAATGATATTGATGATCCCGAGCCTGTACAGGCCTAGACAATGTAGTGTTTATGTATTCGTT